AGACATACTGCTTCCCCTCTGTTTTCCACTGCCTTCCCACACCGATAAAAAAATTTGTACATTTGGTGTAAATGTAAATAGATTGTTCTCCATTTGTGTGTGCACATGTACATATGTATGTATGTGTCTGTCTCTCTTTTCCGTTGTGTATATGCGAGTGTGTCGATTGGGTGATTAAAGGGCGTCTGGCCAGAGGGGGTAATGCCAGGGGCGTCGCTCATTTGCGGCCTGGTCAAAGCGGCGCCAGTCAGACGAACGGCCCACCCAGCAAACTGAATCTCTCTCTCTCTCTCTTTCTATTTCTCTTGCCTCTCCCACACCCATACTGACGCCCACTCTCTCTTTCTCTCACATCTAATACTCCCACACTCTTTCTCAATTTACGCTGTTCTCTCTTACTCCCACACGCTTTGTCGCTACTTTCCCCTTTATATTCTCCCAAGTCACTCTCTTCACCATTGTCATCCTTGTCGTGTGCGAAAATTAAAATATGCATTGCTGTTTGCCCTCCTCGTGTGCCTCCTCCACAGAGATTTTAGTGTATTATATAAGTATTATGTGCATGTGCTTATGCATGAGTGATGGCCTTGACGCATTGTTTCAGTGTGTGGGAAAAGGAAAGCCCGGAAAAGGGCACAAATCGTATCTCTGGCAGACAGATCATAATACCATATTATTCTTGGGGATTAAAAGTCAATTCTTTCGGCTTTTACGATTGGAATGATTATGGTTTTTGATTAAACCATAAAAACCGATGTATGAAATAACAATTTTGAAGGCAAGAAAGGCAGGCTGCCCTTTCAGGTTTTTGGTTGGGCTCTTAAAATATTTGAAATAACAGTTCACGAAAAGGTACTTCAGAAACTCATAGGAAAGGAAATATCCATAAATATGTACTTACCGGTTAGAAAAATATTTATTAAACATTCAATTAGCGTTTCCAAGTCCTTCAATTAAGCAGCATCTATAATTATATATGAAAATTGAAACTCTCCATAGGTATTTTACTGGCTTCTAAGATTTGCAAAAAGAACCAAGAACCATCAAAGCTTATGTCAGCATTTACATACCTGTTGATAGAATATCCAGAAATCCTAGGGTTACATATTTGACTATCAGCGTTCCAGGTGCTCAAAGGTTTTCAATATTGTTCTAAAAATAGTTCCGAGTCATAGATCTAAAATTAAAACAGCAGCAGTTATGTTGAAAATTAAAGTTAAATGCATATTTAGATATATTAATTATTTAAAAGCCGTTAAGTCCCCTGTAGAAGCTACCTCCATATTTTTAATCACTTAAAAACCATCAAGACTTTAATCTGCATTTACATTCCAAATTCCACCAACAAATTATAATCAAGATATACTTTTAGTCATTTCCCATTCCAATAAAAGACGGATTATATAAATCCTCGGCAGACATTCGCTCATTAACAGGCCTAAGGTCGTGTATCGCTCTTCGACAGTGTGCCACTGACAGACAGAGAGACAGTCGGACGGATAGTCCAGGGCCACATAACAGCCTCATTTGCCATTCATTTGCCATGGCTGAAAAGACACACAAAACTTTTAGCGACTGCAACAGGAGGCCACAAAGCAGAAACGCAGGGACGCAAGGACTCGTAACGCGCCATCAATAACAATTATCCGGTATGTCACTTTTTTCCCGAGGTGCAAATCGCGGGGCCATCAAAGGCAGCCTGCCCAGACGTCATCGACTGTTTCGTCCTGCCCCTCCACAGACTCCCTACTGGCTAGAACATTCCAATTAATAGCGCTTCATTGAACCCTGGCGCTCCTGTAATTTAAATGCTAATTTTTATCAAGTAAAGTAACCTTTTTTATACATCTATTTTTGCTCCTTTTTTGTTTGTCAAGGTGCACCTGCAAGGAATTTCTGTAATTTGTTTAGCAAAAGTTTATGGATTTTCATAATCACAAATCAGGCGGAAGTTAAACTTTGATTACATTAACATTGTAAAGCAGACATTGGTAGACGGCCGACTCTCTGCGGCAGTTCATGACGTATGCGCGATATTTGTACTTGTGTCAAGAGATATGTCGAGATATTTTTAAAAGACTCGCCTTCAACTTTTTAATGACACCAATTAGCAACTGCAGAGAGCCACTGAGGCATACAAAAAGGAGGGGCTATGGCAGCAGCAGCCTTCCCACTAAAAGCCTTCCTTTCACATATGCTGCTGCTGCCTGCCTGCTGACTGATGCCTTTCTGGCTCGTTAAATCAAAATGCTTGCCATAAAATCGCTCGTTTCCCAGCCACAGAGCCGGAGCCATAGCCATAGCCCAACAGAAGAAGAGCCACATGCTGTGTGTAAATAATAATTATTTATACAATTTTTTGTTGTTTTTGTTGCCCCTCTCCAGTGAGTGACGGAGTGAGACTTAACAAGCATTCAAGTTGTTTGGTTAAATACAACTTCTTCGGAAAGAAACTCCTTTGAAATGGCCTTTGGACAGAGATTTAAAGGGTTCTCTCAACCCTTTTGCAGATTTATGGAAATTGAGTAAAAGTGGAAATGTCGAAAGTGTTCAGAGAATGTGGAGGAAAACGGGTGGCTATACTTGTAGATTAAGTATTATTTGATTACACTTACATCTACACCTTAGCGGTGTTTTGTCAAATGTTAAATTGAAGAAATTAAATTAACACAACATTATCTGTCATCTACATCTAGAACACTTCTCACACCAACACGCTTCTTTAGCTTGCCGGGCGGGGCGGGGTTCATTTTTGAAATACACTGGTTTCAATGTGAGCATACAGCAGTCTGTATGCAAAATTTGGTGGCTCTAGCTCTTGAAGTCTCTGAGAACTAGCCGACAAACAAGACGGACGGACGGACAGACGGACAGAAAGATATGGCTCTATCGACTCGGCTATTGAAGCTGATCAAGAATATATATATTTTATGGGATCGGAAACGCTTCCTTCTACAATATACCCTATTTACTCTTCGAGTACCGGGTATAATAAAATATATAGTGGATT